ATTGGAACTTCCATGATTAGCTTAGAGAATAGGAAGTACCTAAGTTTATTATTTTTATTTTTTGCTTAAACATTGTTGAAAGTGAAATTGTTTAAAACCCATCCTACATGATCACTAATGATACTTTAATGAGAAAATATTTTTGGATCACTCAATCATGTAGATTATGAATGAGGAATGTGTGTTCCATGGTCTGAGCCAAGATGTAAATATTTTTAGTTGCTGATTTGTACTTAGACAAGGCAGGCATTGAGCACAGCATTTGCTGTAACACAATGTCCTGGGACACTGAACTTTCATTTAGGAATAGCTCAGAACTGTTCTCTAAGATTTCAGGCATATTTTGTCCCAAGATATTTTATTGAACTAAAGATGTTTCTTTGGAATAGAAAAAAAGATTAAATTTGACTCAGTGGTTTCTTTTAAAAACCAAACTAAGGTAGGTTTTCATTGTCCATATAAAATGTGTTAATATATTAAATTTTACAATTTTAAAGTTAAAATTACTCTCAAAGATTTCATCTCAATAATACATATTGTTACATATATTACTGAGGAATACAAAAAAATGAAGAATGAAGAATGCCATTTTTCAGAGAGCTCTTGACTTTTAACATATACAGGACATGTACAACCATAGAAATTCATGAGAAGACAATACATGACAGAAAAATTTATATTTTATGATATTGTTTCTAAAATTCTTAAACAAGGTTTATCAGGTTATATTTATAAGTTGTGCCTGCATAAAATTTTTGTTTGAGTTGGGTACCAAAAGATTGGATGTACAGCAACTTTTTGTCTTTTACAGGGTCCTTTGTATTCAATAGTGAAACATGAGTAAATTCGTTTGCTTAGGGTAAAGCAAAAGGAAATCCAAACTTGTAACTTGTGGCAACCATGAATATACCAGCAACTAGTGGGGAATTTTTATATAATTTAAATTAGCTGTGACCTAAATACTCCTCCCTCAAATGAAGAATTATGTAAATAACACATATCTGCTTTTCTGGCTGAAATAAGTGACTAGATGTATAGGAGTTCTGTCTACCTGTGTAGTCCTAAGATTGATGCTTCCTGTCTGACCTTAGAAGAAACCATACCACTGAAATCATAGCTGCAGTTAGTAACTGAGCAAGACTTATAGTGAAGCCACCTTCTGCAGTCCCCCACTATTGTGGCAAATATGCATTACTATAAAGCAATGTTGTTGCTTTTTTAAACATACAACCTACATTTCATATGCTATTTAGGCTTTTTAAAAAAAGTATACAATATATACATTTTTAAAGTATATTATTTAAAATCAAGTAATTGTAATTTTGAAGGCAGGCATTATTTTATTGGATCTAAGGGAAATAAAATCTCAGATGTGTATAAGTCTTCAAGAAGTTTAAAAAGATAGAACTGTTGGTGACATCACTGCATTTAAGGCAAGGAATGCTAATGTAATTCTATTCTTTCTTTATGTCTTTAAAATTAAATGTTATTGTATAGCAGACAATTCTCTGAAATAGGAATTTTTACTAAGAATGAAGGGGAAATTTTTGTGGCTGTTTTTCTTTATGAAACAAATAAACAGGTGTATGTATGCTTTATTTAGTATTTATTTTTAAATACAGATGCCTTTAACTATATACATAATAAAGTTTAGAAGTGATTTTTTAAACTCTAGTAATACAAAGTTACCGTAGGTGCTTAAATCATGTGAAAGAGTCACAAAGCCACTATTTGAACATTTCTTATTATTTTAGAAAAATACCTGGTCTTAGTATTTATTAATAAAACATTTCTATGAAGGAAGAATTGAGCAGAAGAGATGTAATGCACATTGTTAGTCATATAAATGCCACATTGCATGAACAATTTTAAGTACTGGTATATTCCATATCTTCCCTAAAATATAACTTGGACTTTTAGAAATGGTTATTAAGTGCCTGTCACTATTTGTGATGAATATTTAGATGATTTACAAATGTTTAATAAACATGGAATTAAAAACTCATTTTTCCATCAACTTCTTTGACTTTTGTCAATTGCAAAAACCTCTCAAAGTTATTGTGAATAAAGAGAGGAAACCTGTATATCCTAAGATGGCAAAACCACTTTATTTAGATTCTATTTGTCATAACTACATGGCTTCTTAAGGTAGTCAGTACACTGTTCAATATTTGAATACACTGAGAAACCTCACAAGATTTAAGCTAAATTAAGACATGTACATTTACATTATAGTGATGAGGAAGGAGTTAAATTTCACTGACTGGAAGGACACTAGATTCTATATGCTTTATAGAGATATCCTACTATTTATAGAATGCTACTATTTTTAAAGTCTACTTTTTTCAATTACCTCTCTCATATATATACTCAATAGTACATATCAAGAGTTAGTCATTAAATTCTCTGTGACCTACAAAATCATTCCAATATAAAAATCTTTACCCCAGGGATTAAAGCTGAGTCTCTGTGAGCCAATAACTGTGCTCACAATATTACACTCTAGATACAGACAAAACTTGCTTTAATTTCTCTGGAAAATAAGTCACATTTTAGTACATGCCAGAACAAGATGTTCTTGTTCAAAAATCTTGTGAATGTATTCTTAGTAAATTAAATACAGCTTCTCTTAAAGAAATAATATTACAGCATGTAAACATATGGCTTTCTCTACTTGCTTATAATTTTTATAATTATTGTGCCAAATGTATTTCTGTAAAATGATGTATTTCCTATACAACCTATGGTCACCATAGTTTATAATCTGTTACTAATAAACAGTGCTACCACATCCTTGTTAAGAGTCAGAATCACTTAACCTTTGAATATTAGAGGCCTTCCATTTTATCTCATTCATTACCATTTATGTTTTATAGAGGAGGAAACTAAGACCACAAAGCTAACACATGGAGAAACTGGGTCTCTGACTTTAAGCCAGTGTTCTTTTAAGAGTTTTAAGTCACTAAAATCGCCGATTAAATAATCTTAACAGAAAAGCACAATATGCAAAGCAGAAGAGTGATACTGGCTAAATTTCTACTAAAACGGGATTTGAACTTACAATCCTAAAAAATCCTAAAAAAGCTCGCTTTTTTGGCTCACCTACGTTCTGTCTATTCTTTCACTGAGTTAAGGGCCGCAGTGGGAACACCATGATGTGTAAGACACACAAGATCTCTGCCCTCATACAACTTAAAATTCTGTGGCAAAAACAAACAACACATAACAAAATAAAACAAATGATAAATACTCAATATAAAGCTGGCTACATTCATCACATGCTCAGTTATAAAGTTCACTTAATGATACGGAAAAATCAAGATCTAAGAGCTACTTGAGGATAAACTCTAATATCAAATATACCTCTATGAAATACTGAACTTAGTTACACACTACTAGATGTATGTATCCTACACATATGTCAAGATTCTAAATATATATTTATACACACATACAATCTATAAAAGAACCATGCTCAATAAAAGCTGTATCACTTCCTAAACAAGTTTTCTAAGTCCTCTCTGAAATACTATAGAAAATAAAATGCTTTTTTTCACTCTATCCAGCAGATGCTTTTGCCTATGATTGGATAAAATTTTCCATTTCAATTACCAATGTGCAACTGTTTGCATTATTGCTTTAATTTCTTGTAGGTACTGAGGTTATCTTAACTGTTACAGTTGTTGAACTGAGCTTGTGTCACATCATTTTATCCAGTTTAGTCCAAAATGACCCTGAACTACATAAACAAATAATGATGAATATACATTTTTTTGGGGGGGGGTCTTTTGACACTAAAGGGGAGTTGGAGTTGATGCCAAATTGATATTTAATCAATAGGAACTTGAGTTTCTCAAAACAAAGACATCTGCAGGCAGATTTTAAGCATGTAAATAGATGTTTACTGCACTTCGTAAGTAAGGATTATTTCAAATTTGAGTTCTAACTTACCATGAATTCAGTGCCATTATTTAACAAAGCAGTTTAAAATGTCTTTCCTTAAAAAAGGCCAAGCTTACTTTAAAATGTTTTAACTTCACAGATATCATTTACCAATGTATTTTAGAACAACAATGTGAGAAAAATATAGGAATTATGGGCAAGGGCTTAAGTTTAGAAGTTTATAGTTTTAGTAGCATACCTCAAAGCTGAAGGAACAGGATGCTCAGTTTAGTCAATGTAGGAATTTGCTGGATGGCTAGTTTCTGAATGAAATGAGGTATTCATGAAGTATAAAATGACTGCTACGTTTTACTGAGAACAATGAATCTCTCTCTGATCCAGAAAGCCTTATGTCTTCTGTCAGAATATGTATATAAAGCAATAGCAGGATAATTTACTAGCTTGCACATAAGGTAACAACTCAGATCCTTCACAATTTCTGAGAGAAATGTGAGAAAAGTATTGCACTGAAGGGACAAGGGGGTTCACAATCTACTGGAAGAGATAAATGCCTAAATAATTGTTATGAGGTGATAAAAAGATAAAACCATAACACAAGAACATGAAAAATTAATTTTGAAAAGAAGAAGTTGAAATATTTGGGAGGGAGGGAGAATCAATTGAAATGAGCCTGGGACTGACACTGAACATTCAGACCATGGTGGGCGAGGAGTAGAAAACTTTATTATTGGGCCATCCTTGTCTTCTTGTAAGGCACCTATTCAGCAAGGTCAATTATTGGGACTTTGTTAGAAGATGCATCTTTTTTTTCAAATCTGCAGATGCACCGTCTTCTGGGATTTCAGAAGTTTTCATTAAGAATTAGTCATTCTAATCATTTGTTTTCACACACTATGAAAACTGTCAAAATAAAAATGTTAAAACAGATTCAAGATAAACATTTCCAAGTTTCACTAAATACTATTTAGCATTTTAAGGTAAGAAATAATAGAAATTTCATTATGAAGATTTTTATTAAATTATAGTATATTACAGTTTATATCTTAATAAGATTTTAATCTTTAGGGTAATATGATATAAAAACCTACTTGGCCACATTACTTCTTGAGTTTCTTTTGGGCAGCCTTCTTCTTGACCATTTGTAATCGCTTCATGGCATTGAGTTGTGATTCTTGTGAAGTTGGACCTTTAAGGGATGCTGACGAAGAGCTGCTCGATTCGGAAGTGGTTTTGTTAGTGGTATTTCCACTAGGCCCTGATGTCCCACTATTTCCATTCCCACTGAGCTGGCTGCTGCTTCCTGGAACCAAACTACTTGGACTAGGAAGACCTACTTTGCTAACATTGTCACAACTAACTGAGCGACTAAGGCCAGTTTTGCCTAGAGTGAGAGGTGGAGGTGGTTTCAATGGTACAGTGGGTGAAGTGCTGTTATTGGAACCTATTTTGGAACCTAGTCCCCCTTTGGATGTTGTTGCCAGACCAGTCAAACCCACGGGCTTCTGGTTAGCAGAAGAGGTAGCAGGTTTCCCGCTATTGTTTTGAGTTGCTGAACTCAATTTTGCTGTTGACGGACCAGCAGAAGTAGTTTTGGCTGCAAAAGCTGCCCATCCAATTAGGCCACTAGTTGCTGAAGAGGAAACATTGGTGCTAGAAGAATTTCCTGAAACAACTGTGGATGCCTAAAAAATATAAGATAAATGTTAGAGCCAAGTATAATTAATACCTAATATTCTTAAATACATAAGAAGATTAATGGTTAAGACTTTTTATACAAAAATGATCTTGGAAATTTAAATCATCAAAATTAAGTTCTGATAAACTGATATGACAAAACACATAGAACAAAACCTTTCCATTGCTAATGGTGCTACCATTTCCAAAGCAGGAATTATGGGATGTCATATTCTTATTCTAATCATTTCAGAAAAAAATTTCCTTTCTGAGGACTGCTTCTAGATTCAGTCACAAGCCACATAAGAAAATCAGATTTAATGTTTTAAGTTGTTTTTCATGCAAAAAGGTTATTATTTGGCTTAGTAGAACAACTAATTCTTTAGACCTTGCTCCAAATGACTTGTGGATCAATTCAAAAACAGAATCCACTCTTAATGGACAAAAATGCTTATGCCCAGGATATTTAGTAGATGTCTGAGATGAGATTTTGAACCTATTTAAAAAAAAAATTCCCCCTAAATTTTGAGCAAATACTTGCATATATACAGGTATACTGCATTAACTACATGAAATTGTACAACTGGTGATATACTAAAAAGGTTTCATAACCTTATTTTCCCAATTTGACCATGTTTCCACTGAAACCATCACAGAGATCTCTGTTTCTACCTAAAGGATTTTTTATAAACTTTTTTATAAACTGCCTCAATAAGCTGTATAGTGACATTTTGGGTATGCCTGACTCACTCCCAGAGAATGCGGAGGCCAAAAAAGAATAAGCGTTTGGTGAAATTCTTAATCACCCCTTACTTGAACCGTGATGAAAAAGAAAAGTGGGAGGGCCAGCTTGGGCTGAGAAGGGGGGGGACAGAAAAAAGAAGACAGAACAAAGCTGCTTTTTAGGACTGAACAATCTATTTTCAAAGCACTGGTACCTGTGTGAGTGAGTATGTAAATTAAAGTTATTTAAATGGTTAAAAAAAAAAAAAAAGATTTATTCCTTAAAGGTGTAACACATATTAAATTTCTCTAATTAACTTCCTTGGACAGTCAAAAGCTAACAGAGTACTAATGTCACTACATAAATACTGTTCTTCATACAAAAACAATTTTTTTCACATTAACATTTAGGGGAAAATGCACTTTGTTCAAATTGATTGTGAACTGAATTTTTCTATCTTATTTTCATGGGTCACAAAAGTGTTAAATATGTAAAAGATGAAAGTCTTACAAATAGTATCTTACTTAATATGCTAGTTATCATGCTTAAAATACACCCAGTTATATTTTAGAACCAAACTCTGAATGAGTTGATAAAACATTTTTAGTTCTTACAAAAGTAGTCTTCAATGTTGTCTGCACTAAACACTATAAGCCAATGAGAAAAATACTGAAAATAGAGTGCTCTGAGGTCTTTATAAAAGGAAGGTCCAGATTATTGTTCACATACTGTGAAAAATGACAGGATTTTTTACACTAACATCATATAATGATGATCTCATAAGGTGATGCAAAGAAGGTAAACTTTACATAAATTGCAAATTCCTAGAGAAATGCATGTATTTAATGAGAAAAAGTTAGCCAAGGTAACAAAAGGACACAGGTGTGGTAAACTTAATTTTCAATTATAAAAGATGTAATTTTTTCCTTTTCTTTCTAGTAAATATAAAACTGCCTGCCATTTGGCTAAATGATCTTTCAACAAATTTCACAAAAGAAAACTCATCTGAAATAATCAAAAAGACCAACACTTATGAAGTACAAAGCAAGTTCTGTGTATATGACATTTTATTTTAATGGTTTGCTGTTACTGGTATTGCTTTCAATTTACTGAATTTCATAATAAACATTTATTCCATTTTATCATAAAAAATATCAAAACCTCTTAATCAGAACAAACATGACAGCCAAGGCCTTAATTTATTTGCTGCAAAATAATTTCATATTGAGTTTCCTAAAAATAAGCCTTAGTAGTAATAGGTTAGTATAAAAATCTATCTGAAAGCAGTTTAAGTATAGAATATAGCAACTCTGATTATTTTCAATAAATTATTCTTACTTTTACTCTAACTCACCAAGTTTCTATGTGACAAACCAATAAGAGCTATCCCTTGGAATATCAACTCTTCTTTGGTAAATTAAAAATGATCTGCAAATAAAATTATCAATACCTTTCTCAAGAGTACTTATTTATATTCTTGATTTTCACTACCTATACCCAATGGGACAAGGTAATATCTTTAGAATTTTCTGGGGGTAACCTTTGAGAATCTGGAGCTAACATTTTTTCTTCTATCTTTAGTATTTGCTTAAAATCAGAATGTGTAACTCAATAAACACATTCCTTTTGTTACAAAATTAGATTAGAAAAATATTTTATCCTATGATATCAAAATGCCAGGATAATAATAATAATAATAATAATAGTAATAATAATGTAGCATGATGTCAAGGATGAAGACCAAGGAATGAGAAAGGTAATACTCTCACTAGATAATCTGGCCCCTTAGTATAAAAGAAAGCCACTTCATGGGAAAATTCATGATAACAGAAAGAAATAAGAGAAACCAAGAAAACTTCTTCAATCGCCAATGAGTAGGAAGGAAAAAGCTCACAAGTGATGCGAGGAGCAAAACAATTGCTACTGTGGACAAAGGTATTTAGAATTGAAACCAAATTCCTGATTGCAGAATATTGGCTGACTACATGGGAATGATAAAGAATGTGTTATCTTAGAATGCTCACAAATAGTTCCTAACCACGATAAAAAAAGAAATAGCAGAGTTCAAGTTAAGATAATTATATAAATGTTCCCTTTCTACTTAATGTTAACAGTTTGTTGTTTAGTCACTAAGTCATGTCCAACTCTTTTGTAACCCCATGGCCACAACCTGCAAGGCTCCTCTGTCCATGGGATTTCCCAGGTAAGAATACTGGAATGGGTTGCCATTTCCTTCTTCGGGGATCTTCCGGGCCCAGGGATTGAACCTGTGTCTCTTCATTGGCAGACGGATTCTTTACCACTGAGTCATCAGGGAAGCCAATGTTAATAGTAATACAGTCTTAATTTCCAACATATGGCCATTTAGTCTATAAAGTTCCTGATTAATTTTTTCAAGTAACTATTACTAAGTCAACTAAATTTAAAGCCAATCTTAGATAAAAATAGAATGTACTATACCTTGACTTCTGATCTCTTAAATGCTAGAAAAGTTGTCTCTGGTTTGAGTTTAGCTTCTGGTTTCTTAACCAATGGATCTTTAACAGCTGGAGCTACAGAAACAACTGTGGGGGCTGGTTTCTGTGGTGGTTTCTGAGTTTTCTGAGCCTGCAAAAATCAGTGTTAAGATTAAAGTAGCTACAAAATCTTAGTTAAATGTACAAAAAGACAATAAAATCTACCATAGCACTCCTCAATGAACTGGAATACAGATAAACATTTAACTTTAAAAAATATAACTGTGATGACATAAAAAATATAGACTCTTGGACAAATTATTTTTATCATATCAATTAATGACTTTATAGATGTTATTAGTTTCTAAACAGTAAAGATAGCATGAGGTTTTAAAAATCATGCAAAAAAAATCATGCAGACTGGAGTTAATTAAATATTTTAACAAAACAGACCAAAATCATTAAAAAGAAAAAGAAAAAAAAAACCATATAAACATTTTCAGTTTTATTTTGACCAACAACTGATCTTTTTCCTTTATATTAGGTGCTTTACTAAATTATCTTGTACATGAATCATTTTTCAGTTTATTCTTTAGTGTTGTCCAGCTAAATAATATTAACTATATAAACGGTATAGTGCAATGTTTGAGAGAAGAGTTTTTGGAATCAAAGAGAACTAAAATTAAAGCCCAGCTCAACTACTTCCCTATCTATGTTACCTCAGGTAAAATATGTAAATTTCCAGAAGTCTTGTTTTTCATCTGCAAAATGTGGATAAAATCTTCTGTTCTAAAGGTGGGTTATGAGAATGAACTGTGATTATATAAGAGTTTACACAGTGTCTTGTACATGTTAAGTGCAGATAATAACAGTTACTACTTATTTATCATCATTATTTACAAATGGTAAGAAAACAAAGTTTTCTAACTTAATCCAGAAGAACCCTTCTCTACTACATGAGTAATGGTGCTCCCAGCCATCCCACTGTTTTTGATAGTCCTAGTAAGGGCATGCAAAACTATACCAAAAGCTTTATTAATGATGTGTTCCCATTTTTGGAAATTTAAATGTAGCTGTTTTATCTTTGTTTAGACTTTCTTGGGCTATGGTTTGCCATATAATGTATTTTCATCCTTAAGTCTCAGTTCATCCCATTTTTTATATTACATATTTTCCACATGAAAATATACCTACTTTCAGACATCACTTATAAAGCAACACTCAGATCAAGAATATTATAAAGGATGCTGGAAGATATCTATGGTAAAATATCTCTTACTACCAAGAAAGATTATTGTACCTTGTACTGCAAACCATATAATGAAAATGTAGCCTTCAGAGTATCAGAAGTACATGGTATTCTGATCTTACACTTTCCTCCACCCACATCAGTAGATGAGGTTAGACTCTGAAGACTGACCTAACTTGTATGCTTTAGCAGATGAAGATTCCTTACTATGAAGCTCAGAAAAAACCCCTGCCTAGGAGATCATGTTTGGATCTTCTGCTTCCTGGCTATTTCACCTAGTCATCTTAGAACCTAAGAGATACCCAAAACCCTCTGTTCTTTGCTGGTAGTACTAGTTTAGGGAATTAGGATATTATCACTGATTCAGTATTGCTCAACAAAGGCACTATAATTTTTTATTGGGTGACTGACTCACACAGTGTAGAATGTATGAAATTCACCACTCAAGGCAATATGGCCAGTATGGTAACAATCAAAAATATCACGTACTTCTGTTATTCCTGAGTAGGAATGTGTTACCACCTTAGACTGAGAACCACTGCAATAAGTCATGAGTGCTGGGGCAAATCCCACTGCCTGGTAGAAAGAAAATTACAGAACTAAAGAATAACTCTGGACCCTGCCACCCACTATCATGCTCTGACATTAGGCATTCAGCACTTGACTCTTGGACATATAGACTGAACTTACTGACTGCTGATTTCTGGCCCAAATCTATATTTCCTCTATTTTTATGTATCTTAAAATGAAACAACAGAATGTGGGATGTGTCCAGTCCTGAGGTCTGCTCTGGTGCTCTGATGAGTGAATGAGACTTGCTTTTAATACAAATTAATTAGGCATTTAATTTGCAAAGTTGATAAAGAATAAAATGTATCAGGATGAGGAGAGGCAGGGAATGAACCATTTGGTCTTGTGTGGCCACAGTATGTGGTGTACATGGTGAAGTGGTGGGAAGAAAAGGATACAAATGTAGAGCTGGGTCAAAGAGAGAAGGTCCACCATCCACCCTAACAAGGATAACTTTATTATATAGGTAATTGAGAGCCACTGGGCACACTTAAACAGATAAAGTTAGATAACTATTGTAGAAGAATATTCTAATTGTAGTGTGTAAAATGGACTGAAGGGAACCAAGGAGCTAATGCAACAGCAAGAAATGAGTGACTTGTGGAACTGGGTAATAAAAGTGAGATGAGCAGCTCTGTGACATACATATGAGGTACAATTAACCAGTTTGGTAAACAAAGGGATGTGGATTTAAGAGAGGCATCAAGGATAATGTTATCAGTTCAGGAAAAGGAGGGAAAACTGAGTGGAGAAGAAAACAATTTTAATTTAAAAAATACTGCACTTGAAGTAACTGTAGGATATCTGGTCATCTGCCAAAATTTACTTCAGAAAGAGGGTAAGAACTATAAATATAGATTTGGTACGAGTTAACTCACAAAATGTAAGGGAGGAAAAACAGGAGAGAACAGTACTTACTTTATTAAGAGACTTATAATAAAATAATAAAAAACTCTGAAGCTATGTTAAAGAAAGATCACTATCACAAGTTATTTATTTTGACTAGCAATTCTTAGTGACTACTTGCGCCAAAGTGCTGGAACATACTATTCCGCTCACCCATAATTACTTGGGTTGAAGTCCTAGAGGGTAGTTTAAGTAATAAACTAAATAAAAATCACACAGAGCAGAAAAAATACTGTACCATGTCACAGAAATTTCTTGTTACAAACACAAAGTATAAATATTACTGAAATTTTATTACTTTTATAGGAATAAAAACATACTCTATTTCTGATTTAGTGATTAAAAAGTAGATATCTTGATTTTTTTTTCTTTTTATTTAACTAAGTACTTCTGACTTTAAAAACATATATTTGGTCAGAAAAATTTATGTAGAAATTCACTTGGTTAACAATATGAGAACTCCTCTATCAAAAGTCCTTAATCTTCCGGAGAAAGCTATAATTCAAAAAAAACACAGGCACTCCTATATTCACAGCAGCACCATTTACAATAACTAAGACATGGAAGCAACCTACACGACCATCAGCAAAGGAATGGATCAGTCCATGGAATTCTCCAGGCCAGAATACTGGAGTGGGTAGCCGTTCCCTTCACTGGTAGTTACCAGGGAAGTCCCAAAGATATAGTATAGACATATACAATGGACTATTAGTCAGTGATAAAAAAGAACAAAATAATGCCATTTGCAGCAATGTGGCTGGACCTAGAGATTATCATATAAGAGAAGCAAGTCAGACACAGAAAGACAAATATCATATGATATCACTTATATATGGAATCTAAAATATAACACAAATGAACTTATTTATAAAACAGGAACAGACTCATAGAGAATAGACTTGTGATTGCCAAAGGGGTGGGAGGAGTGAGGTAAGGATGGATTGGAAATTTGGAATTAGTAGACAAAAATTATTATGTATAGGGCTGATAAACAACAAGGTCCTATTGTACAGCATAGGGGACTACATTCAATATACAGAATCACTTTGCTGTACATCAGAAACTAACAATATAAGTCAACTGTACTTCAGTAAAAAATAAATTACAAAAAAAGAGTCCCTAATCAAAGGTAGGGGAACGGGGATGGGGGAAGTAAACAAGACAGTGAAGTAAGTAACAACTTGATTTCTTTAAAAGGAAAATGATAACATTCATCCATCTACTTTTTAAATGAATAAAAGTTAGAAAACAAATTCAATATAACAAATGAAAATGTTTCAGTATGACATTAAAGGCAGTTATGTTTGTGAGCAGTAAACTGAGAAAGTACTTGAAAAAATAGGTTAAATGGTCACTTGAAGACAACGAGAAGGAAAGACAAGGATTAAGAGAGAAATACAGAAGGAAAGATAGAGATGGCTCTGCACACAGCTTGTAAGTTTGGTGGTTTGCGCTCACTCAGGAATAGACATTTCCAATATTTCCTTACCAGACTCATCAAAGACTAGGCTTTGTATCTCATGATTTTTTAATTGTATTATTATTAAATGTAGTATTTTAAAATGTGCACAAATACACTGATAGACCAGTAGGAAATAGTCCTAATTTGTGGGTCTCCAATTCTGTTCACTTATACCTTATACCAGAACAAGCTAAAAGCTGAGCAAAGAAAAATACATATATATGGTCTGGTCCACTTAGGCATAGACACATAAACCACACATTTATATTATATAAACAAACATTAAAATAATCAGCTTATAAGATTTTTTTCAATAGCATAAATGTCCAAATTTTTATCTTAACAACCACATATTAACAAAAAAAATGGACAGAGATTGTTTAAAATAGAGAAAAATAATTCCTACCATTCTTTTCATTTGTCTGGTACATCGGGCACAATACCACACAAGGCGAGGGTCATTCACTTCCTTGTCTGTCACCTGGGGCTTATGGCAATCTTGGTGGTAGAGATTATGGCATTCCTGACATTCTACTAATTGGTTACCGGATGCCACTGTCATTTGCCTAAGAAAATAAATCATTAGATATGACACATATTTGAATGCAACAATTTAAGGCCACTCTAGGGTTCTTCTGGTGAAGTTTCATATGTTAAAGGGGGTAAAGACCTCAGAAAAGCCAAACAGTAAAATAACAAATCCCAACGTGTAGCCTGCACAAACAATTCATCTCTTTTAAAAGTTATGCTCAACCAGTAAGAAATGTATAAGGTGCTTAGACTAAACTTGGCTATATTCTTCTTCTTAGCATTTTCCACTGTAATTTTTTCTTTTTCCCAGAAGGTAGTAAACCTTGGCTCATCCTCCCAACAGTCTCATAACATCTTCTTTGTACCTCTATTCAGTTCCTTTATATTTGTTGCCTACATATTGTTCTATCTTCTTCATTAATACATGAGTTGCCTAAAGGTAGAAAACGAACCTAATTATCTACAGTGCTTAGCACATTACTGCACAGACATGGCGTGCTCCGTAAATAAATGTCTTAATCAACAAGATAGAATGTATTAATAAGTATATCAAACAGGTAAAAACTGCAACAGCAACAGCCTCAGACTATCATAACAAATCTTCTTATGGAGGATTACAATTACTAGTTCTTTCCCCCTTATTACTTTACCATTTATTTCTTTATATGAAAATGATAACCCTTACAGTAGATAAAGGTTGAAATAAAAAAATATATGTTAAAGCAATGAAGCTCTAACAAAATAATCCTATTCAGAAGTACAATAACTGATGCTCTATAATGTTCACAAAATTTTAGAGCTATGTATTCAGTCCCAATGCACCCGAATTTAATAGTTTCATGAAGCAAACAGCAGGAAAGGTGATGATCTCTTCTACTGTGCTAGGCAATGAAAGTCATTAACAACTAAAGATGGAGAGCCTGGTATCAAGGAATTTAAAATCTAATTATTCTGATTTTTAAGATGAATCTTCTATTAAGCAGAATTATGTTTTTATAATTATGTATCCATGTTTCAAAACAATACTCAGAATAACCTACATGATCCATTAATTTCATTTTCCTTATCCTTAGGAAAAGATTTAATGCTACTTTAGAAGATGGTATATAACTGTTTACTTTGTAAATTCTATGAATACTTCAGAGAAAAAAAAGCAATACAGTCTTCTAAAAAAGAAAGGTGGAAATAATTTAGTCTGCTAAACAGTGTCTCACTAAAAATTAAAGCAGTAAGTGCTTTTACTCTAGAAGCCAAGAACACAAAAAATGTTATTACAACATAACTGATTATAAAGATGCCTGTCAGTAATATAAATTTTTGACAATTTATTAGACATTAAGTTGCCACATGGGCAGTTTATCTCCTATCCACCTCCAAATAATGAAAACAGAATTTAAAAAACACCCAACAATTTATCTATTTTTTTTTTCTTTTTTAAACTGTTTGTTCTTTACAAAGAAACAAAAGAATCTATGTGGCAAGGTACAACTTACCTACAAACAACACAGGCCAATCCCATCTCCATGGCAAAATCATCAGCGCTGGTCTCCTCGAAGCTGGAAAGGTCAGCCATGGCTAAATCCTTGCTGGTTTGGACAGTGATGGGAGAGGACCGTGTCTCTGGCTTCTCCAGTCTAGGTTTCTTTGGGACATCAACTCCTTCAGTGACGTCTGATTTCATCTATAAAAAGCACCCAGTCAAAAAGTAACACATTAAAATAAACTTTAAATCACTGCGAGATGTACAAGATAGACAGAGTGCAATGACCAAGTCCACCCCACGGATACTTTCACATAGTTAGGGAGAAAAGCACACACTAAAGACCTGTAGAAGATTTATAATAAATTCGTACTCAGGATGTTAAAAGAATCCAACAAAAGAATCCCACAACAAGGTAAAAAGAAACGAATCAGGACAGTTCAGCATGCATCTGTATCTCTCTTTGTACTCTTTTATTCATTAAAGAATCGTGGACGTTCAACGGATTTACTTACACTGCCCTCCTACCCACCACTGGATGCTTTGAATTGAGAAGCCACAGCACTAATAAGGGTATTTTTAAGGCTATTTTTAAGTATTTTAAATTATGAACTAATGATATTTTACACTGAAAAGAAATGAATAATGAACTTCCACCAGTAACTCAGGCTTAACACATTCCCATATTTGTTTCAAAGCAAATTCTGGCTCCTTTCTTGAAAATATAAACAGAACAATAAAATATAGGTTATAAAGAACCAGTACTTAGAAAAAATATGGAAACACAACCCCTTGAGGGCAAGTATTACTAAAGTTTTTTTAAATGTTTTTTTTACTAAGTTCTAAAATCCTAATAATTAACTATGTGCAAAAATCATTCACAGCAGACAATCCAAGAGTTTTCTGTAACCCTGTTAAGGTACATGCCTTTCTGCAAATTTCATGTCTAGTGATTTACATCTTTATTCTTTCCTTGTCATCTTTTCTTTTCAACAACTGTTACATCTAAAATATTTGAGTTATAGATTAAAGTGTACACATGAAATTAGTATATCTTCCAGGGCTCAAATATTTGTTGACAACGATTTCAATAAACGGATCTAAAATGTTTCTAAATTTTAATTTAAAAAAAATCCATAATAACCAAAATATATTTACTGAGTGATTATTACATACATTTACCAATTATTACATACAAAAAGTAAGCACAAAACAACTGATTGATTTACTAGAGTAAAGCAAAATCTTACTTTATCAGCAGGTCTCTTTTCACCTTCCTTTTTTACCTTCTCAGTTGTAAGGACTTTGCCATTATTATTGCCAGAAGGAAGACTAGATGATGTTTTGGGCTCTTGCTTAACAGAAACAGTTTTTGTGCTTGAAATTTTGGGTGGCTCCACATCCTGTATATGAAATTAAAAGATACCTATAAAGAAATATTCAGACTAGTATATTATTCAAAAAAAAAAAACCAGATCACAAATCTAAATTATCAGTTAAAAATTAAGACATCATATGTGCCAACATATTGTGTCTTTCTCTTCAATAAGTTTCACTATATGGTTTCACATTTGTGAACCATCACTACCATTAATATAATGAACATATTCATCATCCTGCCAAGTTTCCTTGTTGCCCTCTATAACTCTTAGAGGTAGACATCCTAGAAAACTAAGCCACCCATTCTCAGGTAACCACTGATCCATCTTCTGTAACTATATAGGTTGAATTTCCTAGAAATTTTTCTAAGTAGAATCATGCATGATATACTCTTTTTTTTTCTGGCTTTTTTCGCTCAGTATATTTATTTTGAGATTCATGAATGTCACTGAGTGTAACAAACGTTCACTTCTTTTGTTGCTGAATAGTATTCCATTGGACAGATATACCATGATTTGTTTATTAATTTACCTACTGCTGGACAATTGGGATGTTCCCAGTTTGGGGCTATTACAAATAATGATGTTATGAACATTCACGTACAAACCCTGACATGGACACATACTTTAATTTCTCTAGAATAAATGTCTAGGAGTGGAATATCTGGATTATATGGTAGGTTTATGCTTAACTTTTTAAGAAACCTCGCCAAACCATGTTCCAAAGTGGTATACCATTTTATATTTTCATCAGGAGTACCTGAGAGTCCCAGTTCCTTCCTATCTTCAAATCCTCACCAACACTTGGTATCGCTAATCTTTTTAATTTTAGACACTTAATAGATATGTAAGGCATATCACTGTAGATTTAATTTCTCTAATGACTAAAAATGTAAGGGCCAGAGATGTTTTAGTTGCAACCAATTTCTCATGTACTTTAATAATTGCACTGCCTTCTGTTTTAGAATCTCAAAAATACTGCTTCTTGGGGCTTCCCTGGTGGTCCAGTGATTATGAATTTGCCTGCCAACACAGGGTACATGGGTTCAATCCCTGGTCCGGAAGATCCCATGTGCCTATGCTGTGCAGCAACTAAGCCTTGTGCCACAACTACTGAGCCCGCATTCTAGAGCCCATGGTCTGCAACTGCTGAGCCCATGCATCGCAACTACTGAAGCCCTGCGCCCTAGAGCCTGCGCTCTGCAACGAGACGATACCGCAACGAGAAGCTGACGCACGGCAACGAAGAGCAGCCCCCACTCACCACACTTAAGAGAAAGCCTGAGTGCAGCAGCAAAGACCCAGTGCGGCCAAAAGTAAAGGAAGTAAATACATTTTTAGAAAAATACTGCTTCTTTAGTAATAAGAGGGATTTCCTATTTGGAGAATATCAGTACTCGGAGCAGAACAGATTTGTCAGTATATTTTGTTGAGTTTTATTACTTTGGTTGGTTGGAGCTCACTAAACCTCCACAATGAGAATGGTAAAATAAATGAAGTCACAATGGCTCTACTAGTCAAAGGACAATGAAAAGGTCTGAGGATGCTAGAGCTTATTTTGGAAGAAGGCTGGGAGGAAAATATCACTGCTGACTTGGGCACTGAGTCTGGGACTTGGCCCCGTCTTGAGTTTGAGATTCTGGATTAGACTGAGCTAGTCCGGCAGTTTGGTCTTCTCCTCATCAGTCTGGTATCTAGGTGCTCGTAGACCTGGGTGACTCCAAGTTTCAAAGGGAGAGTTTTAGAAAGGTTTGCAAGAATGTCTTAGGTATGTATTAAGAATTTAGTACTACCTGTCATTCACTAAGAGCTTATTATGTACCAAGTAGACACTACACTAGGTGACCAATGTACTTTATTTCTTTTAATGTTCATTATTTTGTAAGGTAGCTCTCATTATCCTCATTTTACTAATAGAGAAACAGATGCTAGGTGAAATGAAGTTACTACGTACCTCAGTTTCCTTATTGTAAAATAAAAAAAAACCTATCTCAAAGGATCATTATCACAATTAAAATTAATTATACACCTGTATCACTGAGAGAAGTACCTAGGACACAGCAAATGTTCAAGATATGTTACCTGTTATCACACTAGTAAGAGGTAAGCTAGGATTTAAAACAGATTTGTCTGGTTCCAAAATGTATATTCTTTTCACAGAAAGCTGCTTGGCCACTTTGTTTGCAATGGGAGTGACATAGTTCTCACCGTTTATCCATACTTCCTTTTGCCCTTAGATTATCCTATCTATATGTAATTCACTTCATTGTAGAATCCCTGTCCTTTTCTTTTTTTGCCCCTACAACATTAGAGAATAATTACAAGCTATGGTTTCATTCAGCAGATTAAAAAAATTCTAATCATAAAGAATTAAAATTATAATACATAAGTGGGTTTCTAGACACAGAAAATAGAACAAAATATTCCCCACTCTCAGCTAACTTTTCTATATAGTGGAATAATTCTCTGAAAGCTTGAGGAAAAAAAAGAACACTATAAAGTTCTTCATGCCACAAGGGAAGATTATCTGGCAGACAGACTGTTTTGAGATGGTCTAACCATTAAAGACTTTACAAAACTCCCTCCAAGCCTCTAATTCAGTTATATACCTTTTGAGATGGACGGTAACTTGAATCAATGCCCCGAGCCAAAGATTCATCAAGTAGTGTTTTTAGCTTTTCAGCAGAATCTTTACTCTTTGAATGTAAGAAGCCTAGTGCTTTCAAAAAAATGGGATCAAGTTCCAAGTTCACTGCAGCAGCCATCCCAAACACCTGAAGGAAAAAAAAAGAGAGAGAAGGTAATCTACAGACAATGGGCAATTACCTGTCAAAATTTATCTGTCATGTTCTGGTTATAATAAGTACTACTATGTACCTGATACAAAATTAAAACTGTCTAAAAGGTTATTACAGATAAATTTCCTTCTTATCCCTAATTGGAATTATCTAGTTCTCTTCTCCTAAAGTGAGAGTGTTATCAGCTATCAGATAAGCTCCTCCTCTCCACAGAGCCTCTTCCTAATATTGTTTTCAAATAATACGCTTACAATTTAGAACAGAGAAACTTGATGTGTTTAGGTCAAGTTTACAGTATATCAAAATTTCTTCTCTTAAACCTTGTTTATACACCCCCCCATCCCCCGCCACACACACACACAGATTGGGGGAAAGGTGTCACGGGAGGACAACAGTTACAGCATACATTAAGCAAGAAGCTATAAAGGTCAGTGCTGAAATTTTAACCTCGGTTATCTTTCTTTGCCTCCTAGTCCTCAGACCCAATCTTGAATGCCTCAGAAAATATACTTATGATAATCTTATCGCATCACATTTAGATTGTGGTATCTCATGCGTTAACCTATTTTTAAAAAGCAAAGTCTCTGACAAATGGTGCCAAAACATACATTTATATACATAGCTTATGATATTCTCTGTGCCCTAAGGAGCTTAAAAAATAGTGAAGATATACATCAAAGGCTTATGAAATTGAAAACATTAAAAAGTTTTGTTTTCAGTTAATACCAATGCTATTATGTTGTTTTATTTCTGGTGTCACTTCTCCAGGCAAGGAATTATTAAAATAAAAGTGTATACTTCGTAGTCAATCCTTTGATCAACATTCTAGAGCTTGAAACTGTCTTCTGTCCTTGAGGTTAATACTGTAATAATGCGACACACTTGCACTGCTAGTTAGGGATCTGTTAGCAATTCCACAGTAATCTCTCATTTTCAGGGATTTATAAAGCCATTAAAACCTGCTGTAGGTTTAATCTTGGCATACAAAAGACCACCCTGAAAATGGATTTTGTTTGTTCCTTCCGTATCTACCTTCCTCCTCGTACTTATTCAGCTTTTATAGGAAACACACATACACACACCCCGAATGGCTTTCTTTTTTAAAGAAGGTATAAGATACCCATCTGATGCCCAAAAAATTGTCGCCAAATTCTGTGCTCTACTCAATCCCTCACGAGCAGGGGTCCAAAGCTCAATATTAAAAGAAAAATAATCTACCTCAAACAGTGGTATGGGTGAAAGTGAAGTCACTCAGTCATGTCCAACTCTTTGCGATCCCATAGACTGGAGCCTACCATAGACTGGAGCCTACCGTAGACTGGAGTCTACCACAGACTGGAGCCTACCATAGACTGGAGCCTACCATAGACTGGAGCCTACCGTAGACTGGAGTCTACCATAGACTGGAGCCTACCATAGACTGGAGCCTACAGGCTTCTCCATCCATGGGATTTTCCCGGCAAGAGTACCGGAGTGGGTTGCCATTTCCTTCTCCAGGGGATCTTCCCGACCCAGGGGTTGAATGGGTAATAATTTAGTAAAAATTGAGAAGCAACCTCTGTTACTTCTTAAGACTGCATTATTACATACATTACCCATATATAATGATAGGTACAGAAAGGTGAATTTTTTTTTAAATTATTCATGAGGTTGGTCACCATAAACATTCTGAGGAGAAAAGCTCCTCATTAAAATGTCCACAATAGTTCCTTTTTATTGTGGAGGTTTCACACAGTGGGTGGGATTGGACGATTGGCTTGTCAAGGTTTCCTGGTTAGGGAAGTTTGCGTTGGTGTTCTAGTGCGTGGAACTGGATTTCTTCTCTCTGGAGTGCAGTGGAGTGTCCAGTAGTGAGTTCTGAGATGGGTCTATGTGTTACGTGTGACTCTAGGCAGCACCCAGAGGGATCGGGTGGAGAGGGAGGTGGGAGGGGGGATCGGGATGGGGAATACATGTAAGTCCATGGCTGATTCATGTCAATGTATGGCAAAAACCACTACAATACTGTAAAGTAATTAGCCTCCAACTAATAAAAATAAATGGAAAAAAAAAGTTCAATATAAAGGTAGAGGTTTATAACAATAAAAAATGTGACTGAGAGAAAAAAAAAATAATAAAATGTCCACAATGAAAAGGAGTAAAGTTGCCACTCCTCCTGAGTGCACAAGGAAACACAGCCTAGACTTTCTACTGACTTAAGTTTTTATAGCTCAAGAGCACAGTAATTTACTTATCCAGAACAATCTGTATTTTGAGGTGCTGAAAGGATTGAAACTTAGAAGAATCCTTTTAATATACTCAAAAAGCCATTACTTCAAATTTCTATGCTGAAAATTAGAAGCAGAGTATTTACTGTTTTATATTTCTATAATCACAGATAGAAAAGGTTTATATTACAGATTAGGTAACAAGAGTCAGCACCTTGTCTTTCACATGCCCTCCACTGGCAGGTGAATTCTTGACTACTAGCACCACTTGGGAAGCCCATATAATTGGTAGCTAAATACATACATAAAGACGTGTACTTACTTTTTTACTCATGGAATAAATGATGAGAAAAGTTTGGAGACCAATGGGTTAGTCTTTCTAGTAATTTCCAGTTTCCCTTTTCCTATTATATACATACAATGGTTACTTAAAGTTACAAACTTGCCTCCCCCTTAAAAATTCCTCCAGTACTCATTTAGCTCAGGGCTTCCCAGATGGTGCCAGTGGTAAAGAAACTGCCCGCCAATTCAGGAGACGTAAGAGATGCAGGTTCGATCGCTGGGTTGAGAAGATCCCCTGGAGAAGGGCATGGCAATCCACTCCAGGATTCTTGCCTGGAGAACTGCACAGACAGAGGAGCCTAGTGGGCTATGGTTCGTGGGGTTGCAAACAGTCGAACAATGAAGTCAGACAATGAAGCACGCATACATGCCCTCAATCAGCTCAGTCCTTCCCCCCTCCACATTAATTTCATTGCTAGCTCCCCATCATCTTCTAGCCCCTACTTATTACCAACACATTCCCCTAGATTTTTCCATGGTTTTCTCAAGCACTCCTTTCATTGCTTCACCTTGACTGCTGCTGCTGCTGCTGCTGCTAAGTCGCTTCAGTCATGTCTGACTCCGTGTGACCCCACAGACGGCAGCCCACCTTGACTATCCCCCCCAAATGCACACAGACATCACCTGTTTCACAGCCTTCCCCAAGTAGTGAGTTGTTTCTATTCAAAGACCAAACAGAGGTCTACAGAGACCTTACTCCATATTTCTGTTTTAGGGAGAATACTCCCTGACCATCATTGATCAACATCGTCTCTTCAAATCCACATCTGCATGTTCACTGTTGCTAATGGACAGAACATTTGCACCAGGTTCATCTTCTTCCTCTCCCCCTTGCCATTATCTCTGGTAGTTTTAGCATCTATACTGGTGTTCTTCTCCAACTTCCTGTGCTAGGTTTATTTAGATCTTCAATCTCAAAGAGCTTCATCTTTAGCCACTGAAACTTGGAACTCAAAACTCTTCTTCTCTTTGACTACAGTCAATTCTCCTTTTTAACTACAATCTTCCATCACTCTCTTAATCTCTTCTACTGCTTTGACCCAGGAGCCTCTTCAGGGTACCAAGTCAATTTTTCTTTCTTTTAAAAATTTCTTTACTCCCATCCACCTGTACTTTGAATTTATAGAGGCCTCCACTCTCTTGTTTCCTCTGCTTTCTCTTTATTGGCAACTTCTCGACCCAACTTCTATTCCCTACCCAACAGAAAAAACAGGAGTCGAGCCTAAAATAAAACACTCATTGTTGTATGTTTTATCCTTTATTCTTTTGCTTTCTACCTTACTTTCCCTCTTCATTTTCTATTGCTTTCTCCAGTTTTTATTATTTCTCCTTTCTTACTGGAAAATGCACATTAGTAATCCTCTGTATGTGAATTCCGAGTAGTGTGATGAAATCACACGCCAGCATGGCCCATCCCGCTTGGGACATGAATTATCCCTTTGTCCAGTGAATGCCATCTGTGAGTCACTAGCCAGCTCGGTTATCAGGTTGGCTGCCAGGGTACTGCAGTGCTTATGTTCATGTTACCTTATTATTATTTCTTTAATGGCCCCAAAGAGCCAGAGTAGTAATGCATGCAATTCAGATATGCCAGAGAAGCTGCAAAGTGCGTCCTCTAAGTGAAAAGGTGAATGTTTTCAACTTAATAAGAAAAAAGTTATATGCTCATATAATGAGGTTGCTAAAATCTATGGTAAGAACAAGTCTTTTATCTGTGAAATTGTGAAGAAGGAAAAAGAAATTTCAGCTAGTTGTGCTATTGTACCTCAAGCTGCAAGAGTTATAGCCATGGCGCATAAGTGTTTAATTAGATTGGAAAAGGCATTAAATTTGTGGGTGGACATGAACAGAATATGTGTTCAAACTGACAGAAATGCGCTGGGCCAGAAAGCATTGAGCATCTACAAAAACTTCAGCAAGGGATCCCCTGAAATGAGTGACACCAGCCGTTTACTGAAAGTAAGAGACGGTTACACAGATTTGGGTTTAGACTGAAAATTATACAAATTACTGGAGAGGCTATGTCTGCCAATGAAGAAGCCATCAGCACATTTCAGGCAGAGTTAAAGAAGCTGAAGGAAGTGACTACATTCACATAGCTTTTATTATGGTATGTTGTTATCGTTCTGTTTTATTACCAGTTGTTGTTAATCTCTGTGTTTAATTTATTAATAAAACTTTATCACAAGTATGTACATAGGAAAAAAATGGTATATATAAGGTGTGGTACTATGTATGGTTTCAGGCATCCACTGGAGATCTTGGAACATATCCCACATGGATAAGAAGGGACCACTGAAGAGTGAAAGAAATTTCTTTTTCTTCTATGGTACTAAAGAGGTCAGCAACTGTAGTGTAAATCTGTCACTTAGTAATGCTGGCCAAGAGAATTCACTGTTTCTTTCAAAAACCTTTCTT